ACACACACACACACACACACACACACACACACACACACACACACACACACACCTTTAAAGTTGTCCCCCAAATATTTATAACCTAAAACTACCTAAAAATACATTGGTTTTCCTGATTGCATGTTTGAACTTTGGCTTGTCTTTAAATGACGTCTGTCCCACAGTTATACCTGCCAATAAACTTAACAAACCGATCTGATGCTGGAGGGAAGGGACCAGGGTAGCCTTCGCGTGTTTCCATAGTGTAAGCTGCCATCACTGTTCGTTAGATATGGGCCTGAGGAGAGAAGGGGCCTTTCCAAGCCAGGGTAACCTGGCCCAGGTTTAATCCGCCTTATCTAGAAATTTAAAACTACATTTAAAAAAATTCTTTGTCTAGTTTTTAAGATTTATATCTCCTTTAATTTAAATTCTTCTTTCCTGGTCTCCACATGGACCCTGTCAGAATTCCTGAGAAGTTTGTCCTGTCGAGGAGACCTGGGACACTCTTGCTGTACCCAGCACTTTATCCACATCTTCCAACAGAAAAACTTAGATGTGTGACCTGTCTGTCACTTTTCATCAAAGAGAGATTAGTGAAAAGAAAGTGATTCAAGGGGGAAGATTAGTATTTGCTTAATTTTTTTCAATGAGGTCACATATCCACACAGTTTATAAATCAAAAAATTTAAGTCATGGGGTTGGAGAGATGGCTCAGAGAGAGGCTAAGGCCACTTGTTACCTCACAGAGGATCTGAATTCTGTTCCCAGCACTCACCTTGGGCAGCTCACACCCATCCGTAACTCCAGCTCCAGGGGATCCCATGTGCTCTTCTGGCCTCAGCAGGCACTGCACTCACTTGGCATCTGTTTGCACACCTAGACACACACACACACACATCGAGCACGGTGGTGTGCACACGTCCCAGCAGTTGGGAGGCTCCTGGGGTCAGGGCTGACCACTACTCTGTCACCCATTTCAGTACTGAGCCTAGCTGTCCCTTAGGAGGGTACACTTAGCTGCCAGGCTCCGGTGGGCATGATGAATGGTGTCTGTGCCATGCCTGAGGCAGTGAGTGCCAGATGTGGGATAGGAACTAAGCAACTCATGGCAGTTAGTGTTCCCTTTCAGCCAGGGCTGCCAGCCATATGTGTTCATAGGAAAACCTTGACTTACAAAAAGCATTGATCTAAGAGTGGGGTGCCTTTGGCCTCTTTCTCAAATAGAGTACAGCCCACTGGCTCCAAGTTAGCACATCCAGGCAGATCTGTTAGCAACGACCCACTCAACTGACCTCCTTAAAGATTGATCTTGGTTGGCATAGATGGTGCATCCGCCAAGATGTGACCATTGTCTGTCAGGTAAACAAGAACATACACACACACACACACACACACACACACACACACACACACACTAACCCCAGAGCTCAGGAGGAAGCAGCAGGCGACCTCTGGAGCAAACTGGCTAGCTAGACTAGCCGAATCAACAAGCTCTGGGTTCAATTGAGAGGCCCTATGGAGCACGATCAAGGAAACCATCTTCTGCCCTCCACCTGCATGCACACACCTGTGCACCTACACGTATGCAGATATACATACACACATAGGAAATATACACATCTACTCACATGCCCACTACCCACAAAAACACACGTATGCCAGACACGCGGACGGACACACACCCACACACTTGTGAACACTATGCAAACACAGAGACCCACACGCGTGTGTGTGCGCACACACACACACACACACACACACACACACACAAATAAGGACTCGCGCACGGGTCCTTGTCACCGGTCCCAGCAGTCCTTACTTTGCACTGTGTACAGACCCAGGCCCCGTGCTGTGCCCCTCCCATGCCATGATGAACTCCCTACGAAGGACCAGATGATGGATGTTTAGACTCCGCAGGCCCCGCCGTGTGTGTCTGCACTGCTTGTACCTTCCCCACCGGAACGGGAAACACCCGTGGAAAACACCTCCTTACACAGAAGTGGGCGGCTGGCTGGCTCTGGCCTTTGCTCTGCGGCGTCCTGTCTCGGTGACAAGCCCTGTCACTGTGGCTGTGAGGCTGGTGTTGCTTGCTTGCTTCCTTGGAGACAGTCTTCCTGTGCAGCCCAGGCTGTTCTAGAACTTGAGATCTTCTTGCTTTAGCCTACCCAGTGCTGAGATTACAGCCTTGGGCACCAGGCTCAGCTGGCTCAAGGGGAGTTCTTCCAGTAAAGAATTCAAACGTAGACCAGACCTTTCCAATCCAGTGTTTGGAGCACGGCCCCAGGCTCTGGTTTCTCTACTGTGGTGGTTTCCCCCACCATCTAAGGGCTGGCTGTTAAGGCTTGTTCCCAGACACTTTGCTTTGCTTGTCCTGGGCCCCCAACTTCAAGTCTGAGTTGCTGCTGTCTCTACACTAATGCTGAGTTTTGGTTTCGAGTTTCTCTTCTGAGACAGAATCAGAAGAGAAGCCTTGAAATGACTATCGAACATAGGATGACCTTGAATTTCTGATCCTCCTGTGTTCACTCCGAGTGCTAGGGTTACAGACATGCTCCCCCACACCTGGTTTGTGCATTGTAGGGATTGAACCCCCTGCATGGTAATCAAGCACTCTATGGACTGGTCTACATCCCCAGCTCCCACATCCTCTTTCTAAACTTCTGTGTTCTCCATCTGGTCCCCTGTTCACTGCTTCTCCCATGCAAATCACTGTTCCTCTGCATAGCTTGAATCAGTGTGCATTTTTTTGGGAACGAGAGTGACCTTACCCCTCTTAGGGTGAGCCCATCACATGGTATTTGATGTGAGCCCCAAGACCTCGGTCTCTTTTCATCATTTCTACGTGCCCGTTTGTTACACATAGATCCTTTTAAAACATTTTTTAATAATTCTATATAGATAATAAATATTTATTTCTCTGTCTGTGGGGGGTGGAGGAAGTGCATGTGGGTGCTTTGGCATGTAAGTGGAGGTTAGAAAGCAGCTTGCCAGAGTCATTTCTGTTCTTCCACCATCTAGACCCAGGGATCAAACTCAGCTCCTCAGTTTCAGCAGCAATCACCTTGGATGCTGAGCCATCTCAGCAGCCCACACAAAGATTCTTTGTGGATACAGTTCTTTGCATTAAGTTGCCCTTTATTAACTTACTTAGCAGGTTTTGTGGGGACTGCCTCCCAAGGTGAGTCTTCAGCACCCGACGGTAAAGAACAAAATGACCATCGTGAGCATGGTCACTGCCCCTGTGAGGTTTAGACACTTAGTAAGGGACACTTACAAGATAATGAGAGTTGTAATGTATGGCCAGAAGAAGCAGCACAGATCAAGTCCGCAGTGACAAAAGTCACAGGGGGCTTCTCTGAGGCAGTGATCGGTCACATGGCAGAAGCCCTTAATAAACATGCTTTCAATTACTGCAAAAACAAAGTGACTTTTCTCACTGCTGTGACCAAATACCTGACAAGAAACATTGTAAGCGAGGAAGGGTTGTTTAGCACTCACAGTTTGCGGGGATACAGTCCCTCCCCGTCAGGGAAGGCGTGGCCAAGAGCACTTAAGTCAGCTGGTTACATTGTTTGAGCTGACTGACAGGGAGTGGGTGGGGCAGGGCTACAAACATCCCAAGACCTTCCCTCCATGACTCACTTCTTCCAGTGAGGGTCTGCCTCCAGGAGACTCCACAGACTTCTAGAACAGGAGCACCAAAACTGAGGGACCCAGTGTTCAAGTATGCCACTTAACATACCAAAGCGGACCTGGCCTCAAGGTTCTCCCAGCATCCCTCAGTCCCTACCCACTCTGGGGTATGGCTGGCATACCCCACCCTCTACCCCGAATTCTCCAGCCCAGGGGTTAGGCTGCCCTTCCCCCAGGGGCTCTTCCTATAATCTAGACATTTTGGCTACCTGCTCTTTTTGTACCTTTGGAGTTCTTGGCTGCTGCACCTGGCTCCCCTCTCTCCCCCTCCCCCTTCCCTTCCCCACACATGACCCAGCCCGTCATGGTCATGTCCACTCGACTCTCCCAAATGTCCCTGTTGCTGCCTATGTTCTCTCTCTCTGTCTGTCTCTGTCTCTCTCTGTTTCTCTCTCTCTCTCTCTCTCTCTCTCTCTCTCTCTCTCTCTCTC